AGGAAAATGCTGGAAAGCACTCCTCCTTCCATGGTTGCTTGTTCTCATTTCTGTGTACTATTTGGACACGGTCAGCCGGTGACTTTTTTTCCTATGATTAGAATAAAAGAAAAATTTAACACCAATATAATTCGATATTTAAAGATATGGAGTAGGGTTTACTCAGGTAAAATGAAAACAAAACAAAAAAAAACAGTTTACCCAACAAAATAACCAAATTCACATTGTTATTCCACTCTGTGGCAAAAAAAAACTGCTCATATGTAGAAAATTAGTTATGTAGAAAATGCTCATATGTAGAAAAAGAGCACTGGATGTTCAGGCTGTGAATGTCTTTGAATGTCAGGATTTTTTTTTTCATCATTATCCTTATTTTGTCTTTCCAAGTAATACAGAAAGCTGCTGGGAAATGTAACCTGGGTTGGTTGAGCTGTTTCATGAACAAAGAAGGGAAAGTCAATAAGGAAGATGACACAATGGAGGTTTCCCAAGAGAAGTGCCACAGGATTAGAGAAGCCCTTGGAAAAATTAAAGAGACCTAGAATATTTCTGCCAACATGCTATAATTTGGTGAGACAAATTGCCAGACAGATCTCTGGTCCACTCCAGCTTAAGTCTTTGTTCTAGGAATAAGTACACAGGTGACATTATCACACTTTTGTCCAATATAAAAATATATTTTTCCGAGGCAAATGATGTGGCTTGGTTGTGTCCAACTTCAGCTCGGGTCATGATCTCATGGTTCATGGGCTTGAGCCCTCTGTCGGGCTCTGTGCTGACAGCTCAGAGCCTGTAGCCTGCTTATATATAATATATATATCCCTGATAAACACATGGACCCCCTCCCCTTTCACTTCTGTCTTCCTCATTGGAAGTGATCTCCATATGGGCACAGATCATGTTTTTTCATGATCACTAATAAAGATATAGTGCTGGTTACAGAGCAAGGATGGATGGTGATTCAAGAAATTTGTGCAAAATGACCCTGTATTTGAGACGTGTCAATAGAATTCACAAGTAAAGGCCCAGGATGGCATGCACAGAATAATTCCCACTGACTTTCAATTATTAACTCTCCTTTATCTGTAAAATATTGTCATCCTGATCCTTCTTCAATTTCTGCACAATGATTGCTATTTCTGCCTGCAAGATAACAGGAATAGGCCACATGTGGAGCAGTCTCTGTGCTATATGCCTTAGAGGACACTGTAACTTCCTCCAAAGTAACTGTTAACCCACTGAAGGCATGATAACAGTGCCATAACTCTGTTCTCATGTAGTTCACTGAGTAAATGACTGGGTAGGTCCTCTTTTAATTTTCTTTTTAGAATTTTTCACCCCCTAATTCTAGTTAGTTAATATGCAAATTATATTAGTTACCAGTGTAGAATTTCGTACATCACCCTGCTCTCGTTATGACAAGTATACCCCTTGATCCATCACATATATAATGGACACATGTATCACTATGATTTACTCACAAATAAACCACACTTGTGACCCAGGAATAAATCCTAGTTGATCATGGCGAATGATGGTTTTAATGTTTATTTTTGATAGAGAAAAAGACACAGCATGAATGGGAGAGGAGCAGAGAGAGAGGGAGACACAACCCAAAGCAGGCTCCAGGCTCCAAGCTGTCAACACAGAGCCCAATGCAGGGGTTGAACCCACGAAGTGTGAGATTGTCATCTGAGCTGAAGATGGATGTTTATGACTCTGCCACCCAAGGGCCCCTTTGGTTAATGATTTTTTTTAAATGCATTGTTGTATTATGTTTGCTATTATTGTATTGAGAATTTTTGCATGTATGTTCATCAGGGATAGTGGCCTGTACTTCTCTTTTTTAGTGGAGTCTTCACCTCTTTTTTTAGGGTAATCCTGTCTTCAAAGAATCGATTCAGTTTTCATTCTTTTCTGTTTTTGGGACTAGTTTAAAAGGCATAGGTATTAAGTCTCATTTAATGGTTTGGTCGAGTTTGCCTGGAAAACCATCTGGTTCTGGACTTTACTTGTGAGAGTTTTTAATTAATGACTTGATTCTTTACTGTCTGTTTAAATTTTCTATTTCCTCCTCTTTCAGTTTTGCTTGTTTATATGTGTATGTTGGCAATTTTTGGCATGTATTTTTTTATAATATCCTCTTTTGATTGTATTTCTGTGCAGTTGGTTGTTATTCTTCCTTTCTCATTTGTGATTGTATGTATTTTAGTTCTTTTTTTTCTTTTTCTTTATTTCTTTTCCTTTTTTTTTTTTTTTCGGTGATAAGTCTGACTAGAAGTTTGCCAATTTCTTTGATTTTTTTTAAAGAGCCAGATTCTGGTTTCATTTCTATCTTCTTTAGTTTTTATTTCCTTTTTAAAATTTATATATCATTTATATCTACTCTAATATTTATTTCCTTCCTTCTGCTGTATCTAGGTTTGTTCTTTTTCTAGCTTCTTTAGGTGCAAGGTTAGGATGTTTATGATTTCTCTCTCACCTTGAGGTAAAGCCTGTATGAGTATAACTTCCCTCTTAGTACTGGTTTTGCTGCATCCCAGAAGTTTTGGACCATTATATTTTCATTCTCATTTTTCCATGCATTTTTAAATTTTCTTTTTTTTCTGACAAATTCATTGTTTAGTAGCATTTTATTTAACCTCCATGTGTTTGTCATCTTTCCAGGTTCTTTTCTGTGGTTGACTTTTAGTTGCATAGCATTTTAGGTCAGAAAAGGCGCATGGAATGACAAGTTTTTGTATTTTTTGAGATCTATTTTGTGACCTAACATGTGATGTGATGTGCACTTGTAAAGAATATGTATTTTTCTGTTTTAGGATGGAATGATCTGAATGTCTAAGTCCATCTGGGCCAGTGTGTCATTCAAAGCCATATTTCCTTGTTTATTTTCTGTTTAGATGATCTATTACTGTAAGTAGGGTGTTCAAGTCCCCTACTAATATTGTATTATTGTATTCAATTGTATTCAATTGTATTCAATTAATTGTATTCAATTAATTCCTTCATTGGTTATTAACTGTTTCATGTATTTTGATTTTCCTAAGTTGGATGCATAAATATTTACAATTATATCTGCTTGTTAGATTGTTCCGTTTATTATGAGAAAGTGTCATTTTTGTCTCTTGTTACACTCTGTTTTAAAGAATGATTTTATCTAATATACTAATTGCTACTCCAGCGCTCTTTTGACAATTTGCATGACAAATGTTATTCCATCCTCTCACTTTTCATCTACAGGTGTCTTTAGGTCTAAAATGTGTCTCTTGTAGGCAGCCTGTAGATGGGTCCTGTTTTTATCCATTCTACATCCCTGTGTTTGAATTATTTACCCATTTACATTCAAAGTAATTTTTGATACATCCATATTCATTGTCATTTTATTACTTGTTTTGTAATTTTTTTCTGAAGATTTTCTCTGATCCTTTCTTGACATTCTCTATTTTGCTGATTTTCTCCACAATTTTTAGGGATATATTTCATATACTTCTTTTATGAGTTCTTTTTTTTTTTTAATTTCATTCTTCTTTTATGTTTCCTACCCAGAGGACGAAGAGCAGGGTGAAGGTCAGGCTTAAGGGTCAGATTCAGAGGCTAAGCTGTTCGTGTGGCTTAGGGTTAGGGTTTCACTCTGAATCTTTCTCCCTCCATCCTGGTCATGGCAAATAGCGTCTATTCCTATTGGGCACCTGGTCAAGTAATCTTGCATCTGTCTTGTGTCCCAAATCCCCTTCCTCAGATCTGGAATCTGGAACCAGGTAGGGCCTGAGCCATGGCTTGCCAGAAGTGAAGAACCCGCCCCTGAGGGCTCAGTTGAGTGTGTTTTAGAGGGAAGTTATGTTTAGGATTTGTCTTCAGGGGCTATGCTGATGGTGTGGGTTAGGGTAAGAATCTCCCCCAGGATCAAACACTCTGGCTCCATCCTGGTTATTGAAAAATGGCACAGCTTCCTTCTCGGTTTGTGGCTAATTATGCATCAGTCATGTGCCCCCAACGTGTTGTTACCACTGACCTGAGACTCAGGCCTGGATAGTGCCAGAGCCACAGCATTAGGGACTTGGAAATGGTAGTGGCCTGTTCATCAGCAGTGAAGAACACTCTCAAAAGGACTGAGTTGAAGACTAAGGTTACAATGAGGGTCAGGACTAGTGATTGTGTTCAGGGCTAGGGTGATGGTAGGGCCTAGGAGTAGTTGTTTGCCCAGAATCCTATGCTTGAGTTTCATCCCGGTCATTGAAAACTGTACCATTTACTTTTCCCTTCCTGGCTGAGTAATCTTTTGTCAGTCTTGTGTCCCAAATTCTTTTTTGGTCATATCTGGGATTTGGGCCTGAGTAAGGACAGAATCATGACGAGTTAGGGTTAAGGCAAGGCAAGGTAGGGGTTGATCTACCAGCAGTCCAGAACCTTCCATGGAGGGCAGAGTTGAGGGGGAATGTCAGGGTGTGCTTCAGACTTTGATTTCTTGTGCAAGGGCTGGGCTCATTGTGTGCTCTATGATTAAGTTTTTGCTCAGAATCTTACTCTGGCTGCATCTTGATTTTTGCAAATGACACCGTATCCTTCTTTGTTCCTGGCAGAGTCATCTTGCATCAGTCCTGTGTCACAAATCAGTTGTGTCCTCCAAACTAGCACTCAGGTCGAAGTAGAGCCGGGGCCATCGCTAAGTTTAGGTTTGTGGTGAAGAAAATGGTAAAGCCATATTAGCCTGCAGTGTGAAGACCTACATGAAGGACACATTTGAAGGCAGGTGCCAGTGTGAGGGTCAGCCTCACAGCTGACTTCAGGGGTATGCTGATGGTGTGGGTTAGGGTCAGGTTTTTAGTCAGCATCATATTCTCTGTCTCCACCTCAGACTTTGCAGATAGCACCATTTCTTCTTAGCCTAGCCAAGCAAATTTGCATCAGTCATGGTTCCAAATCCGTTGTTTCCTTAGTCCTGGGATTTGGGCTTGGGCAGGTACAGATCCCTGATTAAGATTAGGGTTGGGGCCCAGGAGATGGCACGGGCCTTTTCATCAGCAGTGCCCGAGCCTCCCTGGAAGGTTCAGTTGAGGGTGACAGGTAAGGGTTGGGCTTAGGTTTCAGCTTCTGGGGCCAGACTGATGTGGATTAGGGCCACATTTCTGCAGAGAGTCATACTATCTCCATCCTGGTTGTGGCCAATGAATGGCACAGTTTCCCACTGTGTTCCTGGCTAAGTCAAAGTGAATCAGTCTTGTGTCCCAAATCCCTTGTTTCCTCAGACTTGGAATGTGGACCTAGGGAGGGCCACATCCATGGCCAGGGGTTTGGGTTAAGTCCCAGGAATTGGTAGTGGCCTATCTGCTGGCAGGGCACTGTACCCCATCCCTGAGGGCTCATTTTATGGGGAGGTTTAGGGTCTGGGTCAGACAGAGCTCAGGTGCAGGGATGGTATGATTGGGGGCAGTCTGGTTAGATTTTCAGTCCAAATCATACTCTTTAGCTCTACCCCAGTTGTGGTAAGGGGCAGTGATATCGTCTCTGGTCCTAGATGAATGAATAATCTTTCCATGGTCATGTGTCCCAAATTGGTTGTTTTCTCAGACATAGGATTCAGGTCAGGTCAGAACCCCAGGCCAATGTTAGGGTTATGGTTAGCACCCAGGAAATGGCAGGTGCTTATCTGCCAGCAAGGCAGATCTGCCAGCAAGGAGATGAGGTGATAGGGTGTAGGCGAGGCTTAAGGGTTAGATTCATGCACTAGGCTGTTGGTGTGGGTTAAGTTTTGGGTTTTGCTCCCAATCCTACTCTCTTGCTCCATCCTGGTCATGGAAAATGGCAGCAATTCCTACTAGGCACCCAGCTGAGTAAACTTGCATCAGTTCTGTGTCCCAATTCCTTTGTTTCCTCACATCTGGAATCTGGAACCAGGTACGGCCAGAGCCATGGCTCAGGGTTAGATTTAGGGCTGGGGAGATGATTGAGGCCTATCTGCCAGCAACGCCAAGCCATCCCTTGAAGGCTGAGTTGGGTGTCAGTTTAAGGGAAAGGGTCAGGCTTAGGATTCGGGTTCAAGGCTATGCTGATGGTGTGGGTTAGTGTAATATTCTCTCCTAGAATCAAACTCTCTGGCTCCATCCTGGTTGTTGTAAATGGAACGATTTCCTTCTTGGTTTGTGACTGAGTAATCCTAAGTCAGACATATGCTCCCAGTGTGTTGTTACCTCTGACCTGAGATTTGGGCCTGGGTAGGGCCAGAGCCATGTCTAGAGTTAGCTATTAGAGGCCAGGAGATGGTAGCGGTCTATCCACCAGGAGTGAAGAGCACTCCTCAAAGGGTTGCGTTGAGGGCTAGGGTTAGGATGGGGGTCAGGCTTATTGATCCTACTTAGAGTTAGGGTGATGGTGTGGGTTAGGTGTAGGTGTTTGCCCACAGTCCTACCTTTGGGCTTCATCCTAGCCATTGCAAATGGCACAGCTTTATTTTCCTTTCCTGGTTGAGTAATCTTGCATTTGTCTTGTGGTCAAAATTCCTTTTTTTCTACCTTGGATTTGGAATATATCCCTACCACCTTTTGGGCCATAACCCCAACCCTAGTCAATAGTCATGACTAGGGTTGGGGTTATGGCCCAATAGGTGGTAGGGATATATTCCTCAGCAGTGCAGAACCCTCCATCAAAGGCTAAATTGAGGTCTAAATTTAAGGTTCGCATCAGACTTTTGTTATGGATTCAAGAGTAAGTTGATTTTGTGGTTTACAGTTAGGTTTTCATTCATAATCATATTTTTTGGCTGGATCTGATTCATTGAAAATGGCATTGTATCCTTCTTTGTTACTGGCCGAGTAATCTTGCATTAGTCATGTGTCCCAAATCCGTTGTTTCCTCAGAGCTAGCATTCAGGCCATAGTAGCGCCTTTTGCCATAGCTTGGGTTAGCGCTAGTGCAAGGGAAATGGTAAAGGCCTATTTGCTGGCTGTGCTAATGCTTACAAGAAGGGCTCAGTTGAGTGCATGTGTCAGTGTAAGCGTCAGCCTTAAGGTCAGGTTCTGTAGTCAAGAATACTCTATCCAGCACAGGTATCGTTCAAAATAGAAGAAGACTTTCCCAGACTACCAAAACCTAAAGAGGTCATGATCACTAAATCAGATCTTCAAGAAATATTAAAAGGGACACTTTCAGCGGAATGGAGAGACCAAAAGTGTCAGTATAGAGGTAGGAAACACATAAGCGATTAAATGAAACTTTCTGTAAAAAAAAGTCAAGGAACTCACAAAAAAAGATATAAAATATATTACATATACCTAAACCCTGTGGAGGGAATGGGTTCAGTTAAATGATGCAACAAGTAATAAAATGGCAATAAATATGTGCCTATCAATAATTACTTCAGATGTAAATAGGCTAAATGATCCAATCAAAAACATAGGGAGGCAGATTGGATAAAAAAACAAGACTCATCCACATGCTGCCTACAAGAGACCCATTTTAGAACTGAAGACATCTGCAGATTGAAAGTGAGAGAATGGAGTAGCATTTGTTATCAGTATAACAGCATATCTAGGAATAAACCTAACCAAACAGGTGAAAGACCTATATCTTGAAAATTATAAAACACTGATGAAAGAAATTCAAGATGACAGAAAGAAATATAAAGACATTCTATGCTCATGGGTCAGAAGAAAAAATATGGTTATAATGTCTATGCTTCCCAAATATACTATGGAACTATAAGAGACACCAAATGGCCAAGGCAATCCTGAAAGAGAAAAGCAAAGTTGGATGCATCACAATTCCAGACTTCAAGTTGTATTTCAAACTGTAGTGATCAAAAAAGTATGGTATGGGCACAAAAATAGACAGATTAATAGAACAGAACAGAAAACCGAGAAGTGAATACAATAATGTGGCCAATTAATCTTCAACTAAGCAAGAAAGACTATTCAATGTGGAAAAACAGTCTCTTAAACAAATGGTGTTGGGAAAACTGGACAGTATCATGCAAAAGAATGAAAGTAAACCACTTACACAATACACAAAAAAAACACACAATATGGATTAAAGACATAAATGTGAGACCTGAAACCATAAAAATCCTACAAGAGAACACAGGTAGTAACTTCTTTGACATCAGCCACAGCAACTGCTTTGAAGTTATGTCCCCTAAGGCAAAAGAAACTAAAGCACAAACGATTGGGACTATATCAAAATAAAAAGCTTCTGCACAGTGAAGGAATCAACACCACTAAAAAGAAACTTATGGAATGGGAGAAGATATTTGCAAATGACATTTCTGATAAATGGCAATATCCAAATATATAAAGAAGTGATATAACACAAGACCTGCAAAACAAATAATCCCATTAAAAATTGGGCAGAAGACGTGTTCAAAGAAGACATACAGAGGGCCAACAGATACATGAGAAGATGCTTATCATCATGTGTCATTAGGGAAATGTGAATCAAAACCACAATGAGATGCCACCTCACACCTGTCAGAATGGCTAAAAACAAAAGAAGCAATGGGTGATGGCAAGGATGTGGAGATAAAGGAGTTCCTTTATCTTGGGAATAAAAGTGGTGCAGCTACTGTGGAAAACAATATGGAGATTCTTCAAAAAGTTAAAAATACACTACCTTATGATCCAGCAGTAGTGCTACTCGGTATTTACCCAAGGAATAAAAGAACACTAATTCAAAAGGACACATGCACTTGTATGTTTATAGCAAGATTATTTGCAATAGCCAAGATATGGATATAGCCCAAGTATCCATCATTAGATGAATGGATGAAGGTGTGATATATACACACAATTAATACTATTCAGGCATAAGAAGAAATGAAATCTTTCCATTTTCAAGGTCATGGATGGAACTATAGGGTATAAACAGTAAGTGAAATGTCAGTCAGAGAAAAAAATACTGTGTAATTTCAATAATATAAGAAATTTAAGAAACAAAGAAGCAAAGAGAAAAAATGAGAAAGATAGAGACTAGACAATCAAGAACGAGACTCATTCCCTATCAAAACCCACCGGAATCTTCACAGATGTAAAACAATCTTAAAATTAGTATGAGATCACAAAACCCTGAATAACGTAAGCAATCCTGGAAAAAAAGCAAAGCTGGAGGCATTATGGTTGAACATATTCAAAAAATCCCTTTAAAAAAAAAAGAAAAAATGCCTAACGATTTATTGCAACTGACTCACCCATCCCAAGAATGCTTTTTATTTTCTCTTTATGCTTACATTTCAGCAGTAGTAGAATAAAATCAAATATTTGCCACTAAAATATCTAGAATAAATGAAGAAAAAAATGAAAGAAAAATGTGTTATCACGAAGTTTCAATGTTTCTTTATGACATTTTCTAGTCAGAAGTGTTTCAAAATATAAAAACTCATCATTCCTAGGTGATAGTATATTTGACAAATCCAGGAAACACAAATGACATAATGTCTTTCAAGTGAATTTTAATATTTCTCTGTGTTAGAAATCAGTTACCTGTTTGGAGATGACACAGAATGACTCAAAGCTCAACCTCTGGAAGGGTTCCCACTTTAGTAAAACGTGTTATTACCATGTCCATATAGCTGAAGACATAAAAACAAAGAGTGATGTGTCTGTGTGTTTAATACAATCCAAAGAAAGGTATCCTACTGGAAAGCAATCAGGTTAGATTTCAAACAGTCGAGAATATAAAAAAATGCACTTCAATGCAGGTGGTGCCAGAAAGAGCATACTTCTCTTCAGGGGCAAGAAGAGACTGAGATCAGGGGTCAGAGTCAGGAGCAACTGGTCTATCCTCAGACAGTGACAAGAAATTCTAGGTGAGCTCCCACTCTGGTAGTGTGCTGCCACACAGCAGTTTTGATGCTGGGGAAGAAATGTCCTGTTATTGAGATCTCAGTGCTTGGCAGGATTGCGTTGTCCCAGATTGGTCACTCCCTGCTCTCTACCCACCTCCTGGACTGCCTGAGCTTCCTATATCCTGAGCTATACTAATGGTTTGCCCATGCAAAGTCCATACTTTGAAGAAAAAAGAGGATAGAAAAAATAAACTCAATAACTAAAAGACCAAAGCCTATTTCCACAGACTTG